ATTGCAGAATTAAAACAAAAATTATATTAATTCTTATAGAATACATGTAACAATTGATAAGAATTACATTTATTGTTAAAGGATAAAACTAAAAAACTTTGAAATCGGGAAAAAAAACATCAAAATCTAACAAATACACTAATTTATTCTAAAAGAATAATGTTACTAAGAGGCGTCGTTCAAATTTCTTGGTCCGTTCTTCAAGCATCAACTTCTGTGGAAGGAAATCCAATGAATAAATTAGTGAGAAAATATTCGTATTCCAATCCAGCATAATTGGAATTCATGATTCCATTCTGATAGAATTTAAATTCATTTACCAATAATTATATTAATTCGGTGCATTTTAACAGAATATGTTCTTGATTACCATAAAAAAAACATTCATTTCTGATAGAAATACTATAAACGAATATTATCAAAATTAGTAACTTGGTATTCTCTCTATTAAAAAAAAAAGATTAATAACACAAACACATAATTCAAAACAAATTGATTTTAATGTTCAATATCGAATAAGAACTATTATCAATTTATCATAGCATCTGATTTCAGATTGAAATTACAATGTCAATCATAATCAGTAAACATGTAAACATGAAGATGTATAACTAGTAATGACTTGATGAAAGTAGTATACCATAACTCCTAAGTGTCCGATCATCTTTGAGAACTGAGAAGGTGACCAATATAGCTCTTACTACAACAAACCCTTATATCAGTTGTGGCTAAACTCAGTTTCTGAGTGAACTCATTTAGGCCTTTTTGTACCTGGCCTGGGTCGACTCGGTCAAGGGGGATAGCTTCAATAGCCAATATGTCTGCATAAGAGTTTGGGTGAATGAAAGCAAAGCCACTGCAGATAAATAGTGAAGATACTTGATCACTTACTGAGTTTGAAAACCAATTTCAAGTTGAAGGTCTACAGATTGACTGGTTCAAACACAAATTGAATTGAAACCAAATTGAGAACAAAGCAACTACCAAGACTAATAATATTATCTAGCGACCAATTAGTAACTTCATGGTGAGATGTGAGATGATAACATACAGAACCCCAAATCAAACAAGCTTCATTAGTGTATCTACTCATTTGAAACTTCAAATAGAACTAGCACGTTCGATGAAGTTTCAAATCAAGGCTAGATAAGGGTTGGTGATATGGAAAAGGATGAAGACAGAGTGCATACATCCAGATGAAGTCTTAAATCACATACTTGAAAGATTCGACAAACGAACAATCAAAATAAGAAGAATAAAAACCTGTTATAAATCAGAGCTACACTTCGCTTCTTCTTCACATCAAACTTCACAGCCTCTGTTTCCCGTTCGCAATCTGCTAAAGACCGGCGACCTCCTTTGTCCTCACTTTCCTGTCTCTTCTGTTCCTATTAATCAAAGAACTCTGAAGATCTTGTCTCATCGATTACCACCATCGGAAACACAACCACAGCTTCCACCAATCGACAGCACCCCCAAACGATTCCAGCACCCGATTTCTTAAGTCTCCGTGACCTGCGCTCGCTGATCTGCCTTCGTCCATCTTTGCCCGGTCAAAAGGAACACGGTTTTAAAAGCCCTAATCATTTAAGTGGATCCATGATTATAGGGATTATTTTTGGTAGTTACTAAACAAATTACTATATTACCCTTATTTATTTATTTAATTATTTAATTTTGATTGGCCCACATTTATGCATATGAAGCTAGCTCTCTCTCTCTCTCTCTCTCTCTCTCTCTCTATATATATATATATATATATATATATATATATATATATATATATATAACAACCATTACAAAAATAAATATAGGTTACACATAAAGCGTAACTTAACTTACATGGATCCTTATGATAACCGAGAATATCGTAGGAGGGGCTTCGATACCGACCATTTCTATTTTCCCGACCCATTGCCTCAAAGCTTCACTAAAGTGGAGTTCCTCGGATTCCTGGAAATACCCCAAAGGTCGAACACGAGAAAGAGAGATGGGAGAGTTTGGAGTGAGGAGGGTGTGGCAAATGAAAGAAATCGAAGACTTCTATTATTGTAAGGGTGTTCGTGGTGCATTGTAGGGGCGCGTCACCCATCTTATCGCGCTGGTGATGTGGCTTCAGTCAGAGTGTGACATGTGACAAATACCTGGTGGGTCGCGTCAGTCTATCTTTGCGTGCCGCATGCCTTGTCATTACATGCAAAAACTTAATATTCTTTAAAAAATCGTATTTCTTCTTACGAATTATATTTTCAATGGTCTTTATATCCACACATAGTTATCAACAAGATCTACAACTTTAATTTAGTCTCTATCGGCTAATTCTGACTTTATTTTTTAAGTTATATTTTTAACAGATTTAGATTATTAAAGTATGTATAAAAATCATAACTTTGTTATAAGACATTTGTTATTTGCTGTCTTTATAAAAATAGTCGACCGATCATGATTTTGGTTTCTATGTCACAAACTGTTAAGTTGAAACTTCTAAAAAAGATAACTTCCTCGTTTGACGTTAGATTTGGATATTCTCTGTATGCAAACTATTTGTTTTACGACTACAATGACTTCCGTTTAGATTACTAAGTCTAAAATGTAATCTATTTTTGATTCTTATTTTACGACACAAATATTCATGTCGGTTTAATCGTGAAACATTGAATAACCATCATTTCTTCATACAAATTCGGATTCGAGCATTTTATATATCCAAGGAAATCGTATTGACATTTCTTGCATGTTTATGATGAATAATTTGGCTAAAAAGTAATATATCAATACTTCAAATTTTATAAACGAGATTTTATATTGATTTATGTTGGAATGCGAAAATGGAATTTTACAAATCAACTGATTTAATATCTATTTTGTGCCACACACTGTTCAACCGTGTTGCACTAAAAAAAATTTAAAAATCATAACTTTCTCATACAAAGTCAGATTTTGGAGTTCTTTATATCCCTGTGTTCCTATTGATGAGCACTCCGACTTTCACTTTGGCTAGAAAGCAACCTATCCCTGATTCACTTTTTTTTCGACACACCTTGTTGTAACGGTTTAAACCTAAAATTTAGATAAATCATAACTGCCACATATCAAATCAGATTTAAACATTCTTTATATCCACATGCTCATGATCACGACTACTACAACTTTTATTAAGATTATTTATCCTCAATAAACTTTTATTTTTAATGTTATTTTATCGCTTATTGATAAATTTTATATTAAAGTTTTCTACAAATATTATATGCTAATAAATTGTTTACATATCATGTAAACGATAACTATTTATTAGTTCATAATGCATATGAAGAACAATTACTTAATTCAACAATTTAATCTTCGATAAAATGTATAATTATTATTTATTATACCTTAAATGTCTAGCCCAAAATTACGGGCTTTAAATTACCTATGGGATGTCGATTTTCCTATTGATTCTCTTACTAAACTTCGTTCCTTTGTTTCAAGTTGCAGAGGAGATGGTGAATCCAATAACGATGGACATGGTTAAGTTGTTTGAGGAGTGACAGTAAGAGTAGGTGTTTATGTTAGGTTTTCTATGCATCATTACACTTTATTTAGGAAGCGGAACCAATCGAAGATTTACCTAAGTGTACGTGCACCTTAGGATCTAAGTTTCATGTTATTACAACTACCCTATTAAAATATAAAACATAAAGAAGAAGAATAACATACATCTTATGTAGCCATTGATCTCCATACTTGAGATCTTGTCCTCCTCAAGGATAGCTAGATGAGAGGACCTGAACTTGAATCCTTCTAATGGTATGACACCCAACGACACCAACGAGCTAAATAAAAATAACTAGGAGGATGGTTAATTTCACAAACCCTAAGAGCGTTAGAAATCTTCCATATAGAGGAAAAAGAGAGGAGGTGAAAATTGAAGCAAGGTGCAAGGAAGAATGAGATCCCTAAGGCCTTATTGATAGCCTTAGATTCCTTCTTAGGTTTTATCCTCCATCCCATGTAGTGTGATAAGTGGGAAATTCCTATCATAAAAATCACTAAAGATTAACATCGACAAATGACAATAATAGAGTTTTTCATATTTCAGGAAAATATGATCAGAAGCGATACGATTTATAAATAAGGTTAATAGGATAAAAAATGAGTCACCAAAAGTTGTACCACTATTAAATAATGGATGTGTACTTGGAATATGCACAACAAAGTGGTCACAAAGATATAAAAATTGTAAAACTCTGATTTTCACTAGAGGAGTTATGATTTTATAAAAGGTAAAAATTAACTGCGTTAATAACACTATTAACGTCAAAATAGTATACAATCGAGTTTTGGCTAACGTCACTAAAAATAAAATCGTAGTACTCTAAGAGATAAAACCTTTAAAAGGAAAAAGTTCAAAAACAAAGTCCGTATAAAGAAGATATAATTTTTATAATAATAAAAAAATCCGGGTTAAAAACAAAATTTAAAATTTGGCAATGCAACCTTAAGGAAACTTGTAGTAATAGTATAGAGCTACACAAATATATAAAGAGGGTAAGAAACAAGATTCATATAAGGAATATTAGAATATTTATTACAGATTTAGTTACATGCCAAGTGTGCGCCATGCTCGATGCACATATCTGATACACAGATTCATTGACATTAGAGAGACGTGGATCATTAGAAATGTGACACATGACAAACTATAGATGGAGCCCTCAGTAGAGTGCATGATGCGCTTGAAGTGTGCCATCCACATAAGCACTATACATAAAAGTGCTTAAGTTTTGAATTCTTCACACCCAAATCTCTCTCTCTCTATCTCTCTCACTCACTCACACACACACCGACTATCTCTCTCTCTCTCTCTCTCTCTCTCTCTCTCTATATATATATATATATATATATATATATATATATATATATTGATCTATCTTAGAAATAGTATAAACATACATACATAAGTGTATCAAAAATATCCCACAAAATAAGTATCAAAATACAACCCAAATGCATCAACCCTACTCACTACTCTCATACTCACCCTCATCGTGCTTTGAGCTCTCCTCGATATCATCATCAGTATCCCGAGGATGCGTGCTTGATGCACTTGCACCATTATGACTAGGCTGAGCAGGAGGTGGAACAACAGGACCCTCCTAAGGAAAAGGTGGATGGTCCAACCCAAGGTGTTGCCTCACCCCAACAATCAAAGAAATAATCTAGTGATGCTCCTCATGTATAGAATCTAAATGCTGCATGACATTGTGTAGAGTCGGCTCTAGCTGATCAGGCTCTAGATGCCTAGGTCTCTGAAGCATCTTAAAGGTCGCCTCGAGGATATGCTCTAGCTCCAATCGGCTCCACAATATCATTGTTTGAGATCCCCCACTATCTCTCCACTCCTCGAACCAACACCCTTATCTTCCCTAAAGTGGTAGTAGTCATGTCTCTGATAGGAATAGGAACCATCATGCTAGTGTCAACCTTATAAGATAGGGCCAACCGAGTGACCCAATGACCTCCACAAATCTTGATCAAAGGCATGGAACCTAGATCCATATCAGATAAATAGAGAGCTAGAACAACGGGAATATTGAGGCGAACCTTATTCTGAGTAAGGAACCACATATAGAAGAGGTCTCCAAAAGGAACCTTGTCACAATCCTTGTGGTAACAAATACTAGAGGTGACCAATCGGTGAATCTACCGATAAATAGGAGATCTGAAGGCACTCTCCTTGGCTGTTCTAGAAACATAGGTCCCCCTAGCATGGCCCCAGACATATATATAGTCGTACTCCTATGGTAGCTCAATACTACAACTATCATGGTCGGAATAAAAATGAGGACTCAGTCTCCTCCGCTGTAGAAATCCCTAGACGTCTCCACAACTCAATCAGGCTGCGGAAGCAGGATACGCCTCCTAGGCGGAAACAAAAGACCAATCGATTAGCCCACCTCATTGACATCTTGTTAAAGTGGACTATTGAAAAGAAATCCAACTAGAGCACCTTGTATATCACCTCACAAACCCCAACGACCCGCTACCATCCATGGCAGACAAAAAGCTCAAGATCACAATTATTTCGCAAGACACGTGTAAGGAACGACTCCATACGAGCCGTCAACCCAGAATCATGTGGAACTCTCCAAGAAAGAGGCTAGGGAACACCGATCTTATTGGATAGAATTAGGCAAGAGAGGAAGGAAGTCGAATCTGCAAGGTCATCGGGGTCCTGTAGGAATAGATGTGATGTGTAGTTAGGAGGTAACTGACTTGCAACTTGACAAAATGATCTTGACATATCTGAAGAAAAATAGACAAAAAGTAGTTAGGGATGAGTTTGATAAGATAAGTGCGGAAAATTGTGTTGAAATGGACCACATGTCCACAAGTGTGTGTTGGATGCTAGTACACGCGGCGTACTTGCTTCTACATGGCATGCTCCAAGAACAGAATGAGCAACAGTATAGGAAACTGTTGTTTCGCCCAAAATTCAACCCAATAATCTTATAGGGATGCTCCACTAAGCTTCTAGAACACACATAAGTATATAATTCTTCCTAAAACATTCCCAATTTACGAATTTAGATAAAAATTTAGAAAATTTTTCAAATTATAAAAACTCAAAATGCGGATCAATGGATGAAATAAACATGATATTGAGTACCAAGGAAGTAGAATCGGTAGTATAGCTAGCTAAATTAATAGTCCAATTCATGAAATTTAACGAAAATCCATCAATTGATAAAAACCTCAAAAAGCCCTAAAACACAAAAATCAGCTTAAATAAGATATATGATCAAGTAAAAAGGATACTTGGAAGTATTAGAGTTAGAAGAGATGAAAAAATCGAAGCTCGGGATCAAGTGCGCGACGTGTGGGTGGGACGCAGTTGAGAAACAAGGGGGGGGGGGGGGGGGGGGAGGACTGAAGGGAATGTTGAAAAAGTTTAGAATGAGGCCAAAAATCAACTTTAATGCTTATCTGCTTCAGGTGCGTGCGGTGCACATCGTGTGCCTAGGGCATATATTCAACTTTTTTAAAAGTTGACACTTTTTACCCAAAATTTATTGATATCCTAGATAATGAAAACCTTTAAGGGTTTAATATATTTAGAAACCTAAAGGTAAATAAGAGAGATTTCCTTGTATTAGTAAGGAAATTCCATTCATAAGTTAGATTGTTAGGAAAGCAATAGTAGCATGATATAATAAGGAAATTTTGTTCATAAGATAGGCTGCTAGGAAAGCAACAATAGCATGCTGTAATAAAGAAATTATGTTCATAAGATTGGTTGCTATGAAAGAAATAGTAGCATGCTGTAATAAGGAAATTTCATTCATAAGAGAAGTTGCTAGAGAAGCAACAATAGTGTGTCGTAATAGAAATGGTAACACCGATGAAATTCATAGGATAAAAGTAGAATGTTTATATTAACAAGCAATAAGAAGACAGGTTACTAGGAAAACAACCATAGCACACTAAAAATAGGAAAAAATAGTATTGCCCCAGAAAATCAATAATAGAATGACAAGCCCATTAGTCAAACGTAGGAATGACACATAACCTTATTGTTATCATATCAGGATAACGACCCTTTAATGCTAACCTTTATTGACCCAACCACCATTCAGACCATGATTCAACATCAACTCTCTGCTGCGTTAGGGAGCCTCAGATAAAGCAAGGACGAGGGTAGCAAAAAGGAAGGTGGTAAAATGATAAGAACCTACCAGGATTTCATTAATTATAAGCCCATATCATTTTATGGAGACAAAGTAGTAGATAGCTTAATCCAATGGATAAAGGAGATAGAAAGTAAGTGTACTAATGAACATAGATTTAAGTTCGCAACATGAACATTTATAGGAAGAGCTCTCATATGGTGGATTATCCAAGTTAAGGCATTAGGTATGGATAAATCCTATGCAACCCCCTTGAGGAGAGCTAAAGAAGAAGATGATAATGAAATTCCACTTTAGCAAATATGTGGTACAAGCAGAACCGGATATCAGTCTTCTTAGCACAAACGAATCAGGTCTAACGTTCTATATTGTACATTTTAAGTACCCAGTCACCATATGCCCTGAATTGGTCAAATCGGAGATCAAGAAAATCAATGCATACATTCAAAGAACCTGTGCCTCAGAACTCAACAAGGAGTAAGAAGAAGCCCAAGTAACTAAAAAACAAGTAGGAAGGAACCACCTAGGGAAAAATCTAGTAAAACCTTGTGGAAGCAGGTTTGATAACGTCAAATATATGGAATGTTGGTGAGTTCATAAGCAGGTTTGATATGAAAACGTCAAATATATGGAATGTTATCTGTTACTTGAGAATACAACCTATTTTGAAAACGTCAAATATATGGAATGTTGGTGAGTTCATAAGCAGGTTTGATATGAAAATGTTTTGTGTTGTTTATAAAACCCAGAAAATCCGATATTTTCTGAAAGGACAATTGTTTATACAAAAAGTGTGATGATCCATAGGTATATGCATGAATGATTTCAAAACATGTATAAATGAGCAATTTTGCATTATAGTTATTGAAAGTACAAGTGAATAATGTTGATTTCCCCGGAAAACCCGATGTTTTCCGATAAAACAGTATGATCGATTTGTATTATTGTATTGTCGCATCGAATGGATATGATTTCCCCTGATTACTTAGATGGTATTGGATTTTTATGTCAGTCGTTATAACCATACATGATAATGATTAGTTTGTCTGTCTTGACATTCTAGTGAACGCTGAAATTGATCTTAAGATTTTGTCACCCTAGACTGGCCGAGTCTAACTGTAGCGAACAACTGAGGTGTCAGGGAGTCACCCCCGTATAGATCTATACACAAACTCTCGTTCTCCCTCCAGGAGAGTTTGATTATAACTACAGACTACGGCCGACACTTTGAATCTTTCAAGCCCAAAAATTTAAATGTTTACTTGTTTTGTATAGTATAAATGTCGGGAATTTTGTTTGACAATTGTTGAATCGCAAAGGCACAAAGTTTGTCGATTGTTTTATAACGATATTTAGATTTATTAAAATATATGTATATTTTTCATTCTAAATTCATAAGTTATAATGTGGTATTTTTGACCCAAAAATCTTAATAATAAAATAATTAACTCAAAAATATTGGTTTGACCTATTCAACCATTCTTTAATAAAAATGATAATTTTAGCCCCTATTTATAGAAAAATGACATTTTAGGTCCTTAAACTATTTTTCTTAACATTTTGGCCCAAAGACTTATTTAGATAACGTTTTCAGCCCAATGTTTACTTTTTTTTTTTTTTTTTTTTTTTTTTTTTTTTTTGCAGTTTCAGCCCCTTTAGTAAAAGATTTTCATTTATAATCCAAACTTTTTGCAACTTTTACAAATTTGACCATAAATCCAAAAACTTTACATTTTTAATCCTTTTTGGAAAAAGGGTCATTTTAACCCCTAAAATAGATTTATTTACTTTTCTACCCACTGTTTTGAGAAATTTACAATTTCAGCCTGTAACACCAGTCAAAATAGGTCAAAAACAATCACATGTGATTATGCCAATCATGTAATACGATTTTTGTTAAACTAGCAATGTGATAAACTTACTATGTAATTAATGTTAAAGTATAAACTTTCATACATAATTTATGATACAACTCAAAGTATACATCCATATGATTCCAAAGTTATAGAGAACGTCTAAATTTGACTTCGCGTGAAGAAGTTATGATAAACCCTAACACTATAAAATCTCTATAACATAAGGAATTTAAAATAGGATTAGAATTATCTATTTGAGTCTAAAAGAGAGTTGTAGTGCTCATAAATACCTACGCGTGGATATAAAGAACGTCAAAAACGGAGTTCGTATGAAAAAGTTACGACCTTCCAAAGTTACAGCTGTCTGAGTGCACGACACGTGTTAGAAACCCTAATCTGACAAGACTCACGATGTGAGCCTAAAAACTCACGATGTGAGCCTAAAAACTCACGATGTGAGGAGTCAAACCGCCTCATTTTTCTTCTAGAAGTCTAAGGAACGATAACCCAAAAGCTCACGATGTGAGCAAGGTTTTCTCACGACGTGAGGACGATGCAGGACACGACTCGGGGCTAGAAAACACGCGTTAAACCTACAGGATAACTCTTTCCATAACTTACGACGTGAAACTATCATTTCTCACATTGTGAGGGACAAAAATCTTCCTATAAATAGCAAGTTCGGCCATTTGTTTTCTCACACCTGATCTCCTTCCTCCTCTCTCCTTTGATGAAGCTGTTTCGCTTCCCGAGCCCCGACGACCTCGTATCGCTGACCATTTCTGCTTAAATTACATAAAATCACGCTGTTAAGGTGAGTTTCACGGACCCACTTTCTAATATTTTGAGGGAAAATGCATGCTAAATATTATATATACGTTATTATTATGTCTATATGATAGTATATTAGTATCAACGTAGATAGTTATAATAACCGGGATATACTTATTTCGTATATGAAATTATACAAATATCGTAAAGTTGTTAGTATATTATTGTTATAGTAGTGTACTAATATAGATCTTGAGTTATACTTAGGATTCTATATATATTATGTGTGCGATATAGTTCCACAGTTATACTC